CTGTATAAAATCATACCAATTTCCAGAAGACAAATAGCTCAATATACTGAGAAAGGGGCCAAAGATAAAACAGGCGATTCACAGGAGGAAATGTAAATGGCCGGTGGAGGTAGGAAAAGGCGCTTAACCTGCCAGCGAGCTGGGAGATGCGAAGGCCACCGTGAGATCCTATTCTGAGCCCAGCGGATTGGCTAAAACTAAAAAGTCCAACCATTCGGGGTGGTAGCAAGGACACACAGCAAAGGGGTGTACAGACACTGCTCTGGGGGATATAAATGTCCCGGCAACCCCACCTCAGGGACATGTGCACGTAGTAGCCGTGTGGACCTGGACTGCTAGGGCACCCTAGAAGTCCCCACCACGAGCTAGTTAAAATGAACTGGGGCCACATGTACCAGCATAGATCTCAAAAGGACAGTATTTTTATATAGTTTTAAAACATTCAATACAAGATTTGGGGCAGTGTTCAAAAGGTAAGAACATTAAAAGGTGCATAGGGCTGGGGCAGGAAGGGGATTGACTGCAGACAAGTCCCAGGGATCTTCTTGGGGGTGATGCAAATGTTATAAACCTGGATTGCCGTGGTGGTCGCACAGCTCTATAAATTCACTAAAATAATCAGCAATCCATACGCTTAAAATGAGTGAATTTCATGGCTTGCAAATTATACCTCAATAAAGCTGTGAGAGAAAAAAATCCTATCTAAGAGATCTAATAGTCTATTTTTTTAAAAGATTTTATTTATTTATTTGAGAGAGAGAGAATGAGCAGGGGGGAGGAGCAGAGGGAGAGGGAGAAGCAGACTCTCTGAAGAACAGGGAGCCCAATGCAGGACTTGATCCCAGGACCCTGGGATCGTAACCTGAGCCGAAGGCAGACACTTAACCGACTGAGCCACCCAGGTGCCCCTCTAATACTCTATTTTTAATAAAAAGTGCATGGGGATGATAAACACCAAATGCAGGGCACCGGTTCATTTGGGGGAGGGGAAGAGTTAGGGCGGGTACATAGGGGTTTTGCCTCTGCTGTGCTTTATTTCGTAAAAACCAAAAATAATGATCTGAAACATAGCCAAATATGAAGATCTGACAGAGCTGCATGGTAGAGTTAATTCATTTCATGTATTTGTATGTTTGAAATAGTGTATTAAAAAGTACCTATTTTAAAGGACTGTGGCAATTTTCTAATTATGCAGAGAGGTTCATCCAGTGCCTGGCCCACAACAACTGATCAAATTTCAGCTATTATGATGACTGCTGCTATAACTACTACTACCATCTTGCTCCTCTTAACATCTAAAGATCTCAAGACAGAGGAGCAAGCCAGCATCTCTTGGCTCCTGCAGACAGGGACTCTCTTCTGTATATTCCACTCCAGCGCAGGAAATGGGGTGATCCTGCAAAGCCTCTAGGGAGCACTTCTTCCTCCCCTCAAGCCAGATAACCCAGCCAGGGAGGGTCTCCCCAGGGCATCACCCTTGAAAGCCCCCGTTCCATGCATTCCGAAAGCCCTGGGCTCTGGGGAAGGAAAGTGCTAGCACAGAAGGGGAGCAGTTCCCTACGCCTTCACTCTCCCTGCCTCTGACAGAGGCAGGCCACTCCAGGGGAGCCTCTCCAAATCATGGTGTCGTTGATATTATCATCCACAATAATCCCTACCCAACTGTTGGGGTCTCAGAGGTCCTGGGAGTTTCTGTCCTTGCATTCTCCAGACCTGGCCTGTGGCTCTGCCCCTGGGCCCACTGATTGTCTGTGCCCAGAAGCGAAGGCGGGCTGGGCATGGAGAGGGTGCAGCCCTGATAATAGAGAAGATGTCATTTCAGGTGGAACAGGTGACCCAGCCCTGAGCTCAGGTGCGGTTCTCCAAATCTATAGTACCTGTGACCTGTTCCTTCCAAGGCAACTGAGTGATGAACAGGTGGTGGCCAAGGTAGCTGCAAATGGGGAGAGGGGTGGTGGAAAATTAGGGGGCGTGCCTAACAGAATTCTCCGTAACTGATTTGTACATTCTAACACAGTGGTTGGGGCTGGGGGGCCGGGGGCGGTTAGCAGGGTGTGGTTTTAAACTCCTGGGGGCCATGTCTGGAGATACTGTTGGTTGTCACAATTTGGGAGGGGGACGCTACTGGCACCTAGTGGATAGAAGCCAGAGATGTTGCTAAACATCCTATAATGCTCAGGACAGCCTCCCCACAACAAAGAAGGATATGGCTCAAAATGTCAACAGTGTGGATGTTGAGAAATTCTGCCCCAGAGGAAAGGAACAGTATTTACAACTTGCAGATTATAGAAGATGTTGTTCAGAGAGATAAGTCGACCAGCCTAAGGTCACACAGAGGGAAATGGCAGGGCTCAGGACTGTCCAACTCTCCTTCCCATGCTTTCTCTACAGGGTGGCTGGGTCAGGTTCGAAGAGAAGGATACCAAATGGGATGAAAGTCTAGGCCCACACTGATAGCAGCCTCCGGGTGCATTTCCTCCAGAGTGGTGGGGCAGACATGTCTTGAGAACAGGAGGGGGAGGCACCGGCACTTTCTGGTGGGTTCAGGTCCCCTGCCATCACGGCACTACATCTGCCCTGTTCCTGTGGATGCCTCAGGCTTCAGTTCAACCCATCGCCCCTCTTCATCTGATGATGATGAACCCAAAAGCCTGGATACCAGGGAGGGGGCCCCCTTGAGTCACAAGAGTGACTAAACCCACATGCAGAAAAACAAGTTTTTGGTGAAATCCCTGCACACATGACTTTGGCACCTTCCTATTCAGAGTGACATGGACACCATGCAGCAGGGAGGCAGGCCCTCACAGCTATGGCATGCCAGTCTGGGTGTCACATGGTCCCTCCCCCTAGGAAGTGGGCACCATCACCCCCCAGGTACAGATGAGAAAACTGAGTTTCAGAGAGGCTACACGGCTACCAAGTGGAGGCCAAGATTTGAACCCAAATCCGTATTTTAACTTGTTTTTCAAGGGGCCCCTAAAAAGTGATGGAAAGCTAAGCAAGATTCCCCTTAAAGCCTCAGAACCTTCAAAAAGCCGGCGGGGATGGATCTGATTAAGCAGAGGATGAAAAGCCACAGGGCAATCACAAATGATGGCAGACTTCCTGGTTCTTAAGGGGACTCTGCTTTAGGAAACTATGAAGGTATGGGATCTAGGAAGTGGTGGGCTCTGGTGGAATGCCACTTTTTGGGGCCCAACAGACTTGGACTGACATCCTTGCTCTGCCTGTGACTGTGACCTCAGGCATAGGACCTCACTTTTCTGAGCCTTAGTCTCCTCATCTGTCAAATGGGCTCAAGAATCTCGGCCTCATATGCATGTGCTAAGAGCAGACAGGAGAGAATGACTGGATGATGATGCCCAGTTTGTGGTGGCTGTATCTATTCTGGTTCTGCCAGCTCACAGACTGGGTGGGAGGCAGCATGGAGAACTTTAGACTTCCTCTTGTTGCCATGTTGGTGAAAACTGTCTTCCTACCAAAAAGGCAACTCAGTTAGACACTCAACAAGCTCAAACAAGAAACCAAGATTTGGCAGCATTTGAAACAGTTAACAAAAAAAAAAAAAAAAAAAAAAAGGATGAAAAAAAGACAATTCAGCTCCGCTCTGGAATCAAGGGAAACTTCACTCTATTTAAAGATGCCACAGGTCCAGGAAATAGCTTCCCACCGCCTGGCTAAGGGATGAATAACTGGCTTCCCAGCCAATAACAATACGGACTCACACAGCACACCCTTTCTCGTGGAGAGTGCTGAGTGGATTCCGGCTATCTCCTTTCAGGATTTTATAGACTATTCGCAGAGAGCACACAGATCTGCTTTATAAGAACGAGCCTCTTAAGAAAATAGATCCAGAGAAGACTTGCAGGGAGGCCAAGGAGCTGAATTTAGCCAGCCAACGCCCTTTGCTATTCATTGTTCTACACTTCTTTGTTAGGATTTTTTCCCTCCCTCTTGCTCTTTTTTCCTTCCTTGTTAACTTCTCTGCAGCTAGGCGCTGCCACTGCCCCCTTCTCACCACCAGAGACACCACAGCCCCCTCCCCTCCAGTAAGAAGGCCTCCCCAAGACCTCACCTGGGCCCAACATCCCACAGACCCATTACCCCTCCACCCAAAACCTCTGAGGTGATCCCAGGGCCCCTTGAGCCCAGATTTAGGTCCTAGACTGCTGCAGAATCCATTTCCCATCTGGGGGTCACCGCTTGCCCTGGCACACCTTTCAAAGGCAGGGAAGGCCTGAATGCAGCTCCATGTTCTAGAACCTGCACCTTCTTTGAGCCTCAGCCTTCCCATCTGCAAAATGAGGCTACTGGCCCATTTTCTCAAGTCCTTAACCAGCTCTAAACAAGACTCTCATTTTATAGAGGGAGGTACCAGGAGAAAACTTTCCTGCATTTTTAAACAGAAGTTATTGGAGAAAGAGGGCAGGGACTTTTTTTTAAACCTTTTCACGGTGCAGGCACTCAAAGGATCCATTCTCAGAGATGGCTCGGGCTGGATCCTTCAAAAGGACGGAGCCAAACTTGGCGATCCCTAGAGGAGCTACCTGTGGCTAGGCACTGCGGGTCTGGGTGCCTCTGGACAAGGAGGCACAGGGCGGACGGCCCGAGAACAGGAGCTTCTCTATCTCTTTTCCCCCCTCCCCCTCTTTCTGTCTCTCTGTCCCCTACACTGGCTGGGGCCCGACTTTTCCACAAATGGGCCGGAGGAGTGGTGGGGGGGGGCAAAGGAGGAGACGGAAAGGAGGAGAGGAGCTGCAGAGGGGCGAGCAGGGGGCGAGGCGGGAGGACGGAAAAGAGGGGAGGAGAACCGGGCAAAAGAGAGGAGGGGGAGGGGGAGGAGCTGGAGAGACCCAGGCACGCAGCAGCAGGGCCGAGGGGGAGAGAAGGGGAGGGTGGCGAGAGAGCAGACGGTTCGGAAGTTTTCAGAACCCGGGGGCTCTCGGTCGCCCCCGGCGGGGCACGGACTCGAGGGGGCGTGGGGGCCGCGCGGCACTCACATAATGCTTGTTGGGCACCCGCCGCTTCTGCACGTCCAGCACCTTCACCTCCACGATGCTGCGCCGCGGCGGCATGGCCGTCCTCCGCGGGGCCGAACGCGGGTGCGGGGAGCGCGGGTGCGGGGGACGCACTGCCGCGGGCGGAAAGCTGGGGGCCGAGCGCTATCCGGAGCCCCTGCAGATCACCGGCCGAGCTCGAGCCGCCGCCGCCGCCACCGCCCTTCGCTCCGCGCGCCCTGGGGCCCGGCCCGCCGCCGTCGCCCGCCCCCGGCCCGCCCCCGGCCCGCCCCCCGCGCCGCCGCCCCGCCCCCCTTAAAGGGCCCGGCCCAGTTCCCGCCCCCAGCGCGCGGACCGGGCTGGCTCACGTCCGGCCTCCGCCGCGCCTTTGTCCCGGCGCCCTCCCCCGATCTCCGGGGGAGGGGACGGGCGCGCATCCGCAGGCCAGTCACTGACTGACCGGTCGATTCATTCCCGCACTCGCTCAGCTCAGGAGCCACGGCCCAGCGCCGGATCTGTGGGCCGGGCTCCCCGGTTCAAATTCGGGCTCTGCCGCTATCTATTCCGTGGCCTTGGGCGAGTTGCTTAACCTTTCCGGGCTCAGTTCCTTCATCTGTAAAATGGGCCTAGTACGACTGCCTGCCAACCAGGGCTGTCCTCCCCATGTGAAGATGCATGTGAAGCCATTGGCATTGTCTAGCCACGGTATAAGATGTTGACAGTTTTAAACCCAGACCCAAGCCTTGGGGATTCAGGGAGTAGCGAGAGGCCAGCAGCTTCTTTTCCTAAGTGTACACTCTGAGAGATGGGGAGAGAGGGAGATAAAAATCACAACAAATGCAAGTACAATATAATTGCAATAATAGTAGCGTAATAAGGTGGTGGATAAAAACGTGGGGCAGATGCGAGCTTGGAAGAGAGGCCATTGGTTCCCAAATGTGGAGCACTTCCTCCATGCCAGGGGCAGTGCCTTCTGCTTTTCTGAAATGTTCCTTTTGAATGCTCAAGGCAACTCTGGGAGGAAAAGGTGTTTGGCCTATACTACAGAGGGGGTGACTGAGAGCAGCATCCAGACTCACAGAATTGGTGGAAAGAACCCATCACTGTCTGGCTTTAGGCATATTTCACAAGCTAAGGTGGGTGCGGCTGTTTCACATTTCTTCGAGTGCCTCCTCGCCCTGGCTTGGCTCAGAGTCATTTTCAGGTGGTGGCTGAACAAATGTCTGAATGAATGTACACATCAATGCAGGGATAGGAGACTGGCCAATGCTGTTACACTAGGAAGCAGGGGCTCTTTCCAACAAACTGCATCACTCCCCTCTAGGCCCGAAAGAACCCAGGGCTCCTTCCCACCCTGGATCCAAGGTCAGCCTTTGAAAGACAGTATGGGTCATCCAGGGGAGAATGCTTCTTTGCAGCCCTGGCCAGGTTCCTGGATAGTTGGGTGCTGATTCGCTTAGGATCCACCCCCCCCCCACTTGCCCCTCCAACTTCCTTGCCAGGTTTTACCAGCCTGCTCTGGCCCCAGAGAATGGCCTGTATGGATTTCATGGATGGGCTCCCTGTGCTCAGCTTCCTGTTGGGCTTGGCCAATAGGAGGCCCTGGCAGGAGACTGAGGGCAGAAGAAGAGAGAGGTCTAGGTATAATTTTCCTGAGTTCTCTTCCTGCAGGTTTGTGCTTACCAAAGGTGGCCTTCCACATACCTTCTCCCTCAGGGTTCCTGGAACCACTTTTTTCCACTAAGGGTGTTAAGAGTCCTGCTGTTGCAAGTCCTGGATACTGCACCATCCCCTCTGGGTTCCCCAAGCCCTGACCGTACCTCTGTGAGTGTACTCCCCAGTAAACTTCCCTGGTGACCCTGCTTGAGGGAGGCATCTGTTTCATGCTGGGACCCTCGCTGATAGCATTTCTGTAAGGCACATTCTTCTGAAGCACAACTGCAAGTCAAGTTACTTAAAAATGCCCAGTATGTGGAAGGCCTGGCTTTTCTGTTCCTTTTACCTCATCCTCTGAATGAGCCAAGCCTTCCTAATAAGGCAGAACTACAGAAGGCAGACGCTAGAGGAAATCTGTGAATCAGCCAGCTTCCTCGGTTTTCCCAGAAAGGCCATGCGACCTGGCCGAGTTGCACACGGAGAGGCCAAGTTGGGTCTTCAGCCCTCCTGGGCTCCCCTGCTCTGCTGTGGCCTGCCTGGCCTGGGAAGACAGATTTTCCTCTCACCTGCCTGTAGCAGAAGATGCAATAAGTTGCATCTTTCCATGCCCTTCCTTTGTCTCTCTTTGTCTTTCTTTTTACTGTAGTAAAACATACATGACGTAAAATTTCCCATTTTAACCATTTGTAAGTGTATAGTTCTGTGGCATTAAGTACTTCACCTTGTTTTGCGGTCATCACCAACATCCGTCTCTAGAACTTTTTTTTTTGTCTTCCCAAATTGAAACTCTGTACCCTTTAGGCAATAACTCCCCATTCCTCTTTGCTCAGCGGCTGGCAACCACCATTTACTAAGTGTTTGACCTTGCGCAAGTCACTTGACCTCTCTGTACTCTATCTCCTGATGTGTAAGATGGGAAAGGAATAGCCACTGACCTCATTGGCTTGTTCTGGAGTCTAAATGAGATAATACACATAAAGTACATGGATTTTTGTTATTTTGCTATTAGCTGATCAGAGACAGCTAAACGTCTCCCGTTAAGTGCATCCAAATCTCAAACCTAATTTTAATACTAACTCTGCCATGAACTACATCTACTCTTTCCCAGTCCTGATCCTCTTTTTAGTCCCTGATTTTGTGTCCAATCTCAGCTCCCACCAGTTGCCTCTGTTCTCCCCACATCCCCAAAATAGAAATGACTTGTGATCTCCAGGAGGAAATATATTCTGTTTTTTCCTATGCGTATATCTTAGGGTAAGCGATTCATTTCCCCACCCTGTCTGCCAGTAACCTCTTATTCAGCCTTCAAAGCCCAGCTTGGATGTCACTTCCTCCAGGAAGCCCTCCATCCCAGATATATAATTGCTTTCCCACCCCTCCTCCAGCTATCACTGTTCCTTGTCATAGCTATTATTACCTTTTTATAGATCTGATTCTTTTGCCAGACTCTGAGACCCCAAGGAGCTGGAGCGGGTCTAATTTGTTTCAAGTCCCCCAGCATCTGGCACAGACTAGCATTGAGAGGCCTCGAGGAAATGCCTGTGGGATAAATGAATCCATCTCCATCTCCTTAACTCTAACCTAAGTTCTCTCCAGGGCTGGGCTTGCTTTTGTCCCTACCCATTCCCCAGAGACCTCTTCACACCAAGCTTCACTGTGTCCACACTCCTGGGAACCCTGGCATTTCCCTTGATCGGGGTGTAAAGAGAACAGGGCAGAGAAAAAGGTAATTTTGCTGCCTTAGCTGATTTTATTCTTCTGAATTTCTGTTCTAGAAGTGCATTTTGCAAGCTCGAGAGCTGCAGACCATAGAAAATCAATGCTGAAGCTGACAGACCGCAGAATTCCATATGGCAGGTTTATTTGGGAGGAGGGCTACACATCCAAGGGGCATCGAGTCCATCAGCCTAAATTAGGCTCTGATCTTTTTGTGATTTTTGATGTCTGCCTGACTGTCAGGCTGTACTTCTCCCAAATCCCAAGTCTCCAGGATGGACAGCCAGGCCCAGGGAGCTGAGGCCCTGCTCCTTTTTTACCTCTCCTCATCAACCATCCGAGATGGAATCAGGCCTCTTTCCAGAACAAAGGCAGGGGTCATTGAAAAGAGATTCATCCCTCTGAGACTGTTGTCTGATTGACTGGCACAGCAAGATGCTCACAATGAACACAGCCGAACCTACAAATGCTCAGCGGCCAGGCACATGTGGTCCTCTGAACTAGATCATGGGCTGGAAGGAGGTGGGCCTTAGAGCAAAGTTCCAGATGCCCAGGCTGCAGGGCAGAGCTTTGGGGGTGGGGAGGAGCTTGAGCGAAGTTACATTTTGGGGGCTGGAAGAAGGAAAGCACAGCTTCCTTCCATCTTCCCCCTTTTCCTGGCTGTCATAATTATCTTCCTCCTAAAAGGATGCTCTGTCCATAATACTCCCCTGCTCAGAAACCTTCACTGGCTCCCACTGCTCATCGATGTTCATGTGCTAGAGATTGGCATTCAAGGCCTCCATGACCTGGATCCTTTAGTGCTGCTTTCAGCCCTACCTACTTTGTGTTTATAAATTGTGCCTATATCTGTCCTTCTCCACTTTGTAAAGGGATGTGTGGGTAAAGGGATGTGTGTGTGTGTGTGTGTGTCTGATCACCTCCCGGGTGTTATGTATAGCACCAGACATTCCACATCCATTTCTCTATCTAATTTATCCAAGAAACCCACCGTGTGTGTTATTTTCCCCATTTTAAGTGAGACAAACAAAGCTCAGAGAAGTTGCCTTGCGCCATAGCACAGAAAAATGAAGAAGCTGGGATCTGAACTCAGACCTATTGGGTGCCTCACCCATGTTCTTTCCAGAAGCAAGACCCCACTTGAGGACCGGACTGATGTTTTCTTCATGTTTGTCTCCACTTCTCTTCATTAAATAGATGTCTTTCTGCTACAGACGGAATGTTTGTGTCTCCAAATCCGTGTTGAAATCTAATTCCCAATGTGAGGTTATTTGGAGGTGGGAATCTCCAGAACAGGATTAGGTCATAAGGGTGGAGTTTCATGAATGAGATGAGTGCCCTTATCAAAGAGATTCCAGAGAACTCCCTCTCCCCTTCTAACATGTGGGGACATAGTGAGAAGGCAGCTGTCTGGGAACTAGGATGTGGGCTCTTACCAGACTCCAAATCAGCACCTTGGTCTTGGAATTCCTAGCTCCCAGAACTGTGAGAAATAATGTTTCTGTTGTTTTTAAGCCAGCCAGTCTATAATATTGTTATTGTAGCCCAAATGGACTGACAGCTTGAAAGCCATTCTCTGTCTCCAGCTGGATGGGTCTTTAGAAAAGGCAAGTTAGATAATACCTATAAAAGCCAAGGCCTCATGATAGCCAAGCCCCACAGGGTCTGGCTTCTGCTGTCCTCTGGGCCTCATTTCATCCCCTCCC